AAAACGTATTTACGTGTGTCGTATGATTCTCACGACGAACAGCGATCATTTCTTTAGACATCGTTAGGTATTTGCGATGGCGACACTGTGTTTTCTGCGAGGTACGCATTAATTTTTAAATACTATTTTGGCGAAATTATGGCTTCAAATATGAGAAATCTGAAATCGGTGACGCGCAATGAACGTTGACACAAGATGCCCGCGATATGTGTTAAGTCTACTTAACATACAGGGTCTAGACGATACAGAATTTTGTTAAGTTTCTCAGAATATCGATACGTAACATAAACTGTCGACCTCGTTACCGTCTAATCGTTTAAAGCGAGTTCGTAACGAAAAGGTGCAAAAATGTTCTTATTAGCTTCGCCATTCTGTCGATCTGTCCTCGTTTATTTATTTTCTTATTGCTAGTGAGGTGGGACTAAGTTCCTTGCACCAGCCCCAGATGATATGTGAGGGTGATTGTGGAGCAACTGGTGGAATGAAGATTGGCAGAGGAAACCGAAGTACCCGGAGAAAACCTGCCCCAGCGCCACTTTGTCCACTACAAATCCCACTTGACCAGACGGGATCGAACCCGGGCCGCCGCGATGGGAAGCCAGCGACTAACCGCTTGAGCTATGGCGCGGCCCTCTGTTCAAAATAAATGCTGTACCTGTCCTTAATTATGCACCAAGCCATGAAGATGTAAGGGAAGTGAAGGTACAGCTCCATGTACTCTTAAAATTGGCATCAGATAGCGGTGGGTGGTCAGCTTCACGCCCTCGCTTTTTTTATCCCCGGCGGAAAGCCCCTAACTTCGCACATGGGGCAAGGATACAGATTTATGGCATATTTTTACCGTAAAAATACGTTCTAATGACACGTAATGGAATGGAAGAAAATCATATCCCTCAGATGCGGCGAACTTAAGATACTTTGATACCGATGTAATAGACCATTGGTTCCAGCTGATGACGGTCGTAATGAGATGTACAGTACGATAGGTCTCATTTTAGATTTCTGTCCATTGGGACGCGACGCCGTACACTCTGATAGAAATTTACAGACAATTTGGAGGAATGCACGTATTGTATCCATCTCTTCTAGCCCTGAATATGGATGCGGTATATTTCTCGGAAACGTCAGTACTACACGGCGTCACAAACCAAACGACAATATCTTCATGCACCGAAAGATCTGCACAGCAGTAACGCTCCAGAACTCGTATTCAGGAGATGTTCCTTTCCAATCTCGACCGTTGCACGGGCTATCCTCGGGATTCTCGGTTTCTCTAGGCAAACGTCGGAGTAGTACCTAAATTAGGCGACGACCGTTTCCTTCTAAATCCTTTCAATGTCATCATTTTACCATTCCACGCTATACAGTCCAGCTACAGAGAGAGTCGTTAAATTAATCCATTAAGACAATAATCTTCATAGACACCTCCACGGGAACCTCAGACCCCAAGGATCTTCTATTTTCCATATGCCTAATGTCAGTAAAAACAATAAAACTTCCTGCCATCTCTTGACAGATCGAGCCAACCTTAACGCGTTCGGACAGAAATCGCGACTGATTTAGTACACAACCTTATACACAGATGGCAGAGGGCGTAAGTTCGGTACGTATGATGTTAGTCTACAACCTAAATGATATACGACGTCGAGTTTAGGCCTCTTGACAATAATGGTGACTTGTCCCATGATAAGGGTCTCACCTGAAAAATGGACAGTCGTTCTGGCGCCTGTTACGGAATCCGAAAATTTATTAATGACCACAATTCGGTTCAGAATTTCTCTCAGATCTGCCATAACACCATCCGTGCAATACGTCTCTCTCAAACGACCTTTTTCCACGATATTAAAAACACCGTGGCGTTTACCTATAAAGTTTTCAACGCATGAAGACGCATGGGACAGCGAAGGTTTAGCTCAAAATACTCTCAACCTGGGCACTAAACGGAAGTCAGCGGTCAGTTTTCAAACTCCAGCCACTTCACGGCCGGGTAAAATTTGATGGGAGGCAGGGTGCGCACAGAAGCCGATCTGGGGAAACTCCCTCTGTCTGCAATCGAACCCAGATTCCTCGGGTGTCCAGGTTAATCCAGTCCACACCATTCTGCCCTATTTCTTTAAAATTCGCTTCAATACTGCCTTTCCATCTACACCTAGGTCTTTAAATTGGTTCCTTCTTTTCAGATTTTCCAGTGGTTACTACATGTGTTACACACTATATTCCCTTAGATTTCATCATCCTAATAACATTTTGCCGGTCACGGTAGCCGAGCGGTCTAAGGCATGCACTGTCTTCGCTCGCTCGGAAGCCGGGATCGTGGGTTCGAATCCCACTCAGGGCATGGATGTTTGTGTGCGTTTTTCTTTGTTCGTCTACAGGTAGAGGCCTTGCGACGAGCTGATCACTCGCCCAAGGAGTCTTACCGTATGTGTAAGCTCGAGGAAAAACCGAAGTGAACGGAGTTCATGGAGGTAGGCCTAGGCCCACTGGGACTGTAGTGCCAAGGGGGGAAAAAATAACATTTTACTCGTGGGCTCTATCAGTATCGAGACTATTACAACGTCGGGTGGTAGGATAACTAATGAATTTGGAAGGATCTGGAAGGAAGTGGTCGTGGCCTAAACGGTATCCCGGAATTTGCCTTGGGGGACTGAGTAAACCCACGAAAATCTCCGTCAGAATAGCCGGTGACCCGACCAAGATTCGAAACGAGCTCCTCCAGCATATAAATCTACCTCTAGACTCATCTATTCGACTTTAATAACATCTGAAGACTACATATTTTCTTCTGGTCCCTGTGACTTTCTCCTCTCAGGTCCAGGTATTCCTTTCAGCACTCAGGAAGACCAGGGACGGCAAGCAGACGTGTACTGGATGGCACATGCGTTTATGTACGAGCTTTCTACGCAGATTTTTAGTTTCATTCATCAGAAGAAAAAAAAAGGCCTATTATTTCTTTCACGAGGTGCATTAACGGTTCAAAACAGCTGCATGAGGCTAGCGAGCCATAGTTTGGCCACAATAGCTATACAGCGTGAAATGGTATAATGAATACTCACCAGCTAATTAATTTCAAACGATGCAGAAGGAAGTGGTGGGCATTTGCCCAAGACAGACTGCCGAAAACGACGGAAAACCTGTTAGAATAGTCGGTGTTCAAGATGAGATTTGAACCGGGTACTTTGCGAATACAAGCCACAAACGTTACCGTTTTAGTCAGTCCGCTCTGTGACTGACGGCGTTCAAACAAATTCTTGGTTTCTGCGTTTCAAAATTTTGACGCGCACTGCAACCGGCACAATAAAAAGGGGGGGGGGCACCTTGTGTTACGGATTGAAGGCACGTGACCACTTGGAAACCCAGAGCGGCTGGAATCTGAGAGCAGCCGAAAGTATGCAGACTTTCTCTTGAGATGTTTACTGTGAAACTGGAACACTTGAGTTACAGCCCGCAGCTGCTCCGTCCGTTACGCTAAAACGTTGCCTCATTCCAGACCTTTCTGTGCGGCTGTTACACTTGATCCGTCACCCATGAGGGCGGGGCATATTAAGGGTATCTCACAACAAAGTGATTAAGGAAAAATTGCACTCAGAGCTTTTTCCCCTCTAAAAACATGTCTACCGGTACTCTAAGGCTGTTTTTCCACATGAATTTGTGGCACGTCTTCGCGAACCGGTGATTTAAATGGAGCTGTTTCCACACAGCCACACAACTGAGCAACACTTCATCACGGTGCGGCACAAACACTCGTCGAAATGGGACCCAACGCTCAGTTTTGTCTTCAAGGCTCAAATATACAGACAGATGTGCGACTGTTAAATACTAACAAGTTTGCTGGTATGCTACGACTGTTTTCCGGCTTGGGTAAGGTAAAGTTACCCCTGCAACAGGCTGTCGAGGCCCACAGGGTTGTGAGACGCCGAGGTTCCCACATTTTCTAGACAGTCGGCTCACAGATGGCGGTAAGGTTGTCAGCCTTACGAGCCGGTCGCTCTTTGCCCCCATGATGATTCCTGGTTCTCATTTCTGTTAGAGGTTGAGTCGACTCCAGGGGCATAGAGCGTCTGGAAGGATTAGGTCAACTGACACATTCAATGACCTCATCAGGAATCGAACCCACGACCTTCCGAGTTGTAGCATAGTGCTTCAACCAAGTATGGTACCGCGTGCCCTCCTACCCGCAGCATTCACGGAGACACATTAGTATGAAAATTTCAGTACAAGGATCATTTCACTTGCCGATCGCAGTGGCCACGCCCTCTAAAGCAAGAAAAGTCTACGCCTGCTCAAACACTGGGATCGTGAGTTCGAATCCCACTCAGGTCATAGGTGTCTGCCTGTGTTTATTGTGTGTGTTGCTCTGTGTGTGGGTAGAGGCCTTGCGACAAGGCTGATCCTCCGTCCAAAGAGTCCCACCGTCTGTCTGTAACATTAAGAAGCTTAAGCGAAATGACGTCTCACGGATGCCCTTGACTCCAGAGGCAGCGACAGGAATTAAATAACAAAATAATTGTTCCACTCTATATAAGGCAGATCCATACTTCCCTGTCACCTCCACATTTTCCTCTAATCACATTCCATACGAAAATTCTGTATGCAAACTTCAGATGCCCGTCTGAGCTACTTGTGCATCCAAAGCTCTCTTTTCTCCTGGGACGTTTCAACCAGATTTTTACATATATTTACTGTTTCCTCTTGCTCCATGCGCCTCCAATTTCATCCTTAAACCTTTATCACACTACACTGAGGCCGCAGGAAGATGCCACATGGATGGTGGGGATGAGAGGGCTGGAGGCTTCTTATTGCTGTTCTCCAGCCCCTCTGTCCTATGTCAACCGATCCAAAACGCATGTCGCAAAATAGGGGTATCCCTGTCAACATTCATGTGCACAGAATGGCTGGAGGGAAATACAGGGAAGTATTATACAGGGCGGAAATCCATGGGACGTCTTTCCGGGGCCTCAGCTGAAGTGGATGTCCAAGTCCTTCGAGAACTGCCTCACCTGGTTACGGCAGGATCCAGGCCCAACTGCTGTAGCACCCCGTTGGAGAGGCTGGGGAATGCGTCTTGTGCGGGAGAGCTACTAGTCGAGGCCTCGCTGCTCACACTGCTGCCGCTATTCCCCGACCCCACCACGTGCGTCTCCGACACGCAGCGTCGCATCGAGGTCGCCAACTGCTCCTGTAAGAAAGACCTGCTCACTCAAGACGATCACCCTGTATTAACTCTTACAAAACACAATTATTCCCTATTAATTCCTGTTCCTGCAGAACACCACCTCCACGTCTGTGCAAGACAGCAACCCACTGTATTAAATTCTACACCTGGAAGGACACCGGCACATGGCATTAACTCGTTCTCCTGAAAAAAAATCATCATCCCATTTTATTAACTCCTGTTTGTGTTACACTGTATGCCCCTCTACCGACGTTTGATCATGTAAAGGCACCAGTATCCAACATTAGCCCTCCGAAGTCTGAAGTTCGTGTAAACAATCTTTAATAAGTCAGTCTGAGCCTCATAGAAGACATACAAAACTGGACCATCGCTTCTGTTTAAGGAAATAGCTATTTATACTAAGAACCATGTAAGACCCACAAACACAACCTGTGACCAATTTGCAAAGTTCTTGAATTTTATAGCAAGTGGCACATAGTGATTTAAAAGAAAATCAGTTTCTTTTCTACAGCACCGGCTTACATAAACTCCTGTGCACATTTCCCACCAGCTCTTTCTTAAAATAAGCTGCAACAGAAGAGGCTGGGGTTGCTGTGGTGGCATACTGGCAACGATATTCACTTCCCAGAGTTCCACAACGGAGAACTTTGAGGGAGACTGGTTCCTTCCCACGCGCAAATGCTGAAACTGAACGACGCAAGCGTGGAGACATATGTTCTTGCGCGGAGGACCGAAGTCCAAGTACAGGTATATACAAGCAAAATTTCCAGGACGACTGGCGTAGCACAGACGCTGATATAGAGAATTCTCTGGTTCTGTCCGTATCACCTCCAAAGGGTACAACATTACTCGGAGATTATGCCAAACCATGTACAATTTTGTGAACGGCTGCAACTACGACAATGCATTTTGCGTGACCTGCTGTTCACGGATGAGGTTCCATTTACCAGGATGGTTATTACCATCACAAGGAATGAGCATATGATGTTAGAGAACGTAATTTTCAACACTGATTTTCAGTTAATGTGTGGTGTGGAGTATTAAGCAATAAACTGACTGAACCATACTGTAGGCATTACAGGAATGTCCTGGGAAATGGGTTAGGGCACGTACACACACAGCGACATCGGTCGTACGACGTCAGTACGGTTCCTGTCGCATCAAGTAGTAGAACATAAAGGGTAGTCTTAGCTTTCATACGTGACGACATGCGACATCTACCGTACGACAGTCGGAGAGCAAAGAAATGTATCTGGTCGCTCTAGTGTGAAAAAACAGTTTCATGCCTTAGGACGCGAGGTCACGGCGTTTGGCGGTAGAGTAGACTGCGACTGGAAATTTATAACACAGGACAGTGGGTTCTGCTCAGAATCTTTGTTTAGTTTTTAAAATAGCTCGGATAAATATAACTTATAGCAGTGCAATGGTGCATAATTAAGAAAGGGAAGACTGTACGTCCACTTTATATATTGAGGTTACATACAGCGAACGGTAGAAATGTTACGTGTTCCTGCCAGACAAAAGAAAACGCAGGAGCCCCATTACAAAATTGATTGCAGCCTTCAAAATTACAGTTTCACGATGAACTCAGAGCATTATTATTTTAGATTTTCTTAAATGACCGTAATCAAGGATTGCAATCGTCTCTATCAGCCAACACAAGTTCTGGATGCATTTGCCATTTGAAGAGGAGTGCAATGAGAGAGACCAGTAAAAAGTCTAAGGAACAGAAGATATAAAAGTTTAAACCGAAATGTGTGTCACTTTGGAGTTTTATATTCCGATCAATGATACAGATTTCAGCAATCAAAAAACCATTACCAATTTTAATGGTCAGTCTGTCGAGCAACGGCGTTAAAATGCAGACGAGCAATGGTCGACGAAAAAACCAAGGAAAGAAAAAATTACGAGTTGCAATGGGGAATTAATTCGATCGTTCTGAAGGCAAACCTAATTCTTACATTCTTTTCCGAGCATTAAAACAAGACGCAGACCATACAGGCCATACAATCATCTGGCGTGAAGTGGAATCAAAACCGCATAAAATGAGAATTTACATAATAAATGACGCACGAATTACTCGTAACAATATTATTCCAAATTATGAACAATCAAGGGAGCTTAAGAATGTTTGAGAGCTTTGGCACATGTTCAGAAACTTCCGTGTTCTCCCCAATTCTCTACCTCGTTCTACCGGGATCAACTGAGCAGGAATCTCTTCTCCTTAAACAAGACAGGAAACAAATCCAGTTTTCGAAACGTTCTCTTTGAAAATTCAACATGATGGAAAATATCCAAATTAACTCTCATGTTTCCTGTTATCACACAATCTGCAGGAAGGGTAAAATGTTGCGTTCACAAGGTGCTGTATCCGAGACACACAAGATTAATGAGCTCACAGCAAGAGCGAACACAGACAAATGCTCATTATTCAATTAGGTCATTATGATCTCGTCTGCTTTCAAAACCGCTGACAACTAGAACACACAAAACAACAAATTCTCCAACAGCGCAGCGTGGGTGTGAAACAGCATCTCTTAGTTTACGAAGAGGCATAAATCACAACTGTTTTAGATTAAAGTGCTCAACAAAACATTTCGACATAACGAAGATTAATAAAGTGAGCAAATTCGAATATTTAATAACAAGATAATTCATTGTGTACGGAAGGAACAGAGTATTTTTAGGATAACGAAATCTAGGAGGCTATAGTAGATACAGAACGTGACTGGGATGGAGGAAATAAGGAATAAATACAGGATTTTGATGGGGAAAACTCCTGGAAGACGGCCACTTGCAAAACGAAGGAGATGGGAGATGAACGGAATCACGGCAGCGGGTCTGATGCCAGCGGTGTAGCGCCTTCGGGGTCTGCAATCAGCGTTACTTAGAGACAGCAGTTGCATCGTACAAATTACTTCAAACTTCGTAGCTTCGAAAGTTATTCGGCATCAGAACAGACCAGAAGCCTAATCCATGACAGCTGCAGAGTACAGTGTATTAACAGGCTCTTCATGTAATTTTCTCCAGTTTCCCGTTACTGCCTGTTTTCTCCGACCAAGTGTTTTCCCAGTTGTCCCCTCAGGGACAAGCTGACTTGTGCCATTTGTGTTCTCACGCCAGTGGCTATTAATATCACTGCCTTCTTGACCATGACTCCGTGCAATCTGGTAGATATTTACGCATGTTCCGGAGGAAACTGCTATGCGCATGTTCAGAGCAGAAGGGCAAGCCACATGGAAACAACAGACATTTATATAGCAAACCCTAGCTAATCGGGATCGAAACATGGAAAATGTAAAGTTCTGTTCACAGATGAGTACATACTTCAAAAGACACGATATTCAACAGAAAAGGAATTAGAGCAAGACGACTGTGTTCAGAGCAGCTTGAGAGACTGAACCCAAGCAAGAAAACACGGTACTGTGATATGACGCCTGAAAGCCAGAATAGTCAATTTCTAGCCATCGGCTCGCCAAACATAAATTTCCCTAGCAACGGATAAAACAGAGTACTACACGAACTGTTGAAGATGGTGACCTACGCATATTCGGTTCGCCTGAAGTTAGTTCAGTTCAGGGGAATTCAGTCGCAAGTGATTCTTCAGTTGGCATTCGTAGAGAGTTCAGTGTTCAGCTGTGGAGTGCTAACCAGCGGACACCGGAAGCTGAAGAAGTGACCGGCTCGCAACTCAGAACAAAGTCAGTCACAGCAGAAGAACAGACACTCGTAGTCCAGTAAGGAGTGGAGCGAATCTTAGGCAGTCATGGATTGTGAGCTGTTATAATTGATTGTAATCGTATAGAAGTGCCAATAAATTCAATCATCCAATCCAGAACCCGTCATTATTAGTCATGTAACCCCGGATACGTGGCAATATCCAAGACTGGCTTCAGCTGGATGAAGGATACCGTAGATTTCAGCTTCTTACAGAGAAAGAAAATGCTGCAATGTTATTTTCATTTATATTCATCAGCGCTGTCAATATTATTACATTTTCCATTTATTTGTTCTCTAAGTTTTTTCTTCTTCTCTTTTAGGGCTGACTTTTACTTCATTAATCCGGATCATTGCTTAATCCCGACCTGCCCCACAATTAAGCCGGATTAGCGAGGGTTTACTGTATAGGGCAAGTGAAGAAAAAGGACGGGAAGTTTTCTTATTGGAGCGCTGTTAAAATTGTCTCTATATTCTTTACAGTGTACCTCATACTGTCTATGAGTCCGGCCGTTCTAAGGGCCATAGACTTCCACTCAGTGTACACCACTCCCAGTGGTTCGCTCTCAGTCCCAGACCTTGTCCTCTTTTTCCCTCCTTATCACCGAAAGTACTGTCCCGAACAGCTTTGTGAGAACTCTAACCTCGTTCTCTTTAAAGAATTAATCAGACCCACGCTGACCTATGCCTGTCCGGTACGGCTGCATGCAGGCTTAAGCTACTTTCAGCAGCCCCAAACAGCTCCGAACGCAGCCCCGCGAAACACCACAGTCAGTGATCGTAACCGGTTCCTCCGAATTGCAACATGAGGCGAGCTGACAGATTACGTACCAGAAAGAAGCAGGCAAAGGTTACAGAAAACCATGGAAAAGCAGCAGTGTGTAGCACACGAAACATGCCAGGGGCAGACTTGCTGGGGACCGTTCACTCAGCCTCTCAGGACATGTATATTTGCTGATCGAATATGCAAATAAATATATAAGCTTAGCTTACAGCCTACGCCTGCCATTTTCTTGATCTGCTTACTCCTTGATCCTCAAGATGGAGAAGACGTGCCACTCGAAAACGTAAGTAGGCCTACATGGTGTCCAGAGCAGACGACATTAAGGTTCCTAACCCGTTAAATTTAGCTCTGTTCATTCTGGTCCGTCACATTAGTGGCCCGAAACACAGCAAAGAGGAAAAAAACTAGACATCACAACGATACAGAACCATAACAAGCTGGAGGGGGGGGGGGATAACTAAGAGGACCTCTCAGTTTCCAAATAATACTCCAACATTTCGTTTTAAGGACACAAACCATATCGGTTCGAGGTTCGAAGTTCCTACGTGTATTAGCGAAGTTTTCTACAACCACCTGCTACTTCCCCATCATGTCCAAATGTTCCTCTCAGTAACCTGCTCTCAAATACGCCCAACATGAGTTCTTCCTTCAGAGTGAGTGACAAAGTTTCAAACCCATTCAAAATTGGTAAAACTTTATACTTCCCTTGACTTCAATGTTCTAAGCGTTAATACAGCATATGAACGGATAAAAGATTCTGAATGAATCTCAAACCCCGAATAATGCTTGATAGTGTGTGGTGCCTTCGGCGTTGGCTTGAGGCCTCGTCCTAAGTTTATCCTGGCCAAGATTTCACGGGAAAAATGCTAATAAGAAATGCTGATCTAGAGCTGTGAGTGTCAGCTGACATACAACAGCAGAAACTATGCTTATGGGATCACCCCGCTGTCTGTGTTCTCCCATTTTGACGTTTGAACTAGCTGACCGAGTTTCAAGGAACTCGCTAAAAATAGTACGTCACTGGTGGGGAAATCTCGCATTCTAAACGTCTTACAATCAGTAATAGCAAACATGGCGGATGAGCAAATATATGAAGTGGGAGCGACATCATGGCTCTTGAAATTGTTCATAACAGATACTAATAGAAGCTCTAATTGACGCTGGTCAGGAGGTTGGTATATACGCAAACACAGAGAAAACTAAGTATATGTTGCTGTCTTGTCACCAGAATGCTGGGCAATATCATGATATAAAGAGAGCTAACAGATGTTTTGAAAATGTGGCAGACTTCATATACTTGGGAACGACTATAACAAACCAAATCCTGATTCAGGAGGAAATTAAGAGGCGACTGAACTCGGGTAATGCTTGCTACCATTCAGTTCAGAATTTTGTCTTCTCGTCTGCTGTCAAAAAACATAAAAATTAGAATATACAAAACTATAATTTTGCCTGTGGTTCTGTATGGGTGTGAAATTTGGTCTCTGACTTTAAGGGAGGAACACAGACTGAGGGTGTTTGAGAACAGGGTGCCAAGGAGAATATTTGGACCGAAGAGAGATGAAGTGACAGGAGATTGGATAAAACTACATAATGAGAAGCTTCGTAACTTGTACTCTTCTCCAAGTATAATTAGAATGATCAAGTCAAGAAGGATGAATGGGCAGAGCCAGTAGCACGAATGGAGAGAAAAGGAAATCCTATAGGATTTTAGTGGAAAAGCCAGAAAGGAAGAGACTACTAAGATGGCCTACATGTAGATAAACGTAAAGTTGTTCCTGTGCTTAATTAATCAAGCACCATGCCATGAAGACGTATAGGGGAGTCGAAGTAGAGCCCCACCATTTCTGGCCTTGGCACTACATGTAACTGAGTGGTCAGCTTCACGCCCCAGCCGCCTTGCTTCAGTGAGATCCCCCGGTACCCACTGTAGGGGTCATGCGATAGCGTAGTTGTCGAGGTACTATGCTACAAGCCGGAAAGTTGTGGGCTCGATTTCTGATGACGCCACTGGATTTTTCAATTGACCTAATCCTACCAGCCGCAATATGGCCCTGGGATCCACTCAGCCCCTAATAGAAATGAGTACCAGGAATCTTCCTAGTGGTAAAGGGCGGCCGGCATGTAAAGTTGACAATCTCACCTCCATCTTTGAGCCGACTGTCTAGAAAATCTGGAAGCCTCGACGTCTCACCACCCTACAGGCCTCCACGGTCTGTTATAGGGATAGCTTTACCGTTTTTTTATTGCTAGTGGGGTGGGGCTTAGTCCCTTATATTGCGGCCACTTCTGGTCTATTGTACCAGCCCCAGATGATAGGTGAGGGTGATTGTGGAGCAATTGGTGGAATGAAGATTTGCAGGGGAAACCCAAGTACTCGGAGAAAACCCGCCCCAGCGCCACTTTGTCCACCACAAATCCTACTTAACTAGACCCGGGATCGAACCCGGGCCGCCGCGGTGGGAAGCCAGCGACTAACCGCTTGAGCTGTGGCGCGGCCCTAGTTTTACCTTACTTCAAAGATTAATAAGCACAATTCATTCTTACCTCTGGAGCTGAGGTGACGGATGTAGTCCTGTTGAGGACGGGACAGACAGTGGATATGACATCGGCCCCCTGCGAACAAATAATGGTCAGGCTGACTAACTTCATGTTTCAATTACGGACAAAGAAGTCCACCGCATTTCATGCAAGCCGAAGATTTATTATCATCTAACTACATGCCCATCGATGAATGATATCCTAAGCCAACTTAATCCAATCCATACCACGCACTATTAATCTAATATAAATTTCGATGGTATCCTTCCAATTATCCGTAAGTCTCGTAAGTTGTCTCTTTACCTAGCGGCTTTCCGACTAAAATCTACATACTATGACTCTCACATCCTTGGCTTAACAGCCGTAATGACAGTTGCTGAAGAATACGAATTACGCAGCTTCTCATTAGGAGACCTCCTTCATTCTCCGGTCGCGCACATCCTCTTCTCTGAAACCCAAATATTCTTCTATGCACCCGTTAGACGACCCGGGATAGCGTAGTCGGTATGGCGACTGGCTACGGGCTGGACGAAAGATGGATCGGAGCTTGAATCCCGGTAGGGTCAAGAATTCTCTCTTCTCCACGTCGTCCAGACCGACTCTGCGGTCCAACCAACCTCCTATTCATTTTGCACCAGGGGTTCTTTCCCGGGGATAAAGTGGCCGGGGCGTGAAGCTGACCACTCACCTCAAACTAGTGCCGAGGTCAAGAAAATGTGGATCTATACATCCACTCTCCCATACGCCTTCATGGGGTAGTGCTTAACTAGTTACCCACAGGGACAATTTTACTTTTTTACCCTGTTCGACTTAGTGACGACGATAATATGAAATGTATTTTTGTGAAAGTGGACTCGGGCAGGCTAGCTGGGAACTTTGCAGTCATGCTGTGCCGACCCACAACGTACAACTTCGGTTCACGGTTGGTCTGCCAAGTAAACTCGTCGTGCTTCGAAACCTAGAGACAACAGATGCAAATCTCGCAACAAGGGCAGACGATGCCATAACGTTAACCAAGCCGTGAAGAAGGAGGCTGCAAAATATCGAAATCCATGCAGACAACGAAGGTAATTTTTTTTTATTGTTAGTGGGGTGGGACTAAGTCCCTTGTACTGCGGCCACTACCAGCCCCAGATGATAGGTGAGGGTGATTGTGGAGCAGTTGGTGGAATCAAGATTGGTAGGGGAAACCGAAGTACTCGGAGAAAACCTGCACCAGCGCCACTTTGTCCACCACAAATCCCACTTGACCAGATCCAGGATCGAACCCGGGCCGCCGCGGTGGGAAGCCAGCGACTAACCGCTTGAGCTATGGCGCTGCCCCTCGGTCTATGTACCTCCATTAATGTCTGAAACCAAGTTTCACACGCATATAGAACCACAAGCAAAATTATAGTTTTATATGTTCTACTTTTTTTATGCTGACTCTGTAACAAGCCACACGCTGTTGAGGTCTGCATTTAAATAAATAAAGCAATGAACTGAATCATCATAATCATCAAGATAATTATCTTAGCGGCAGCAACTTTCTTGGTTCTTTCTTCTTCTTCTTCTTCTTCTTCTTCAAATTTTGCTGGCCTTCCGGTCGATCACGCTGAATACGGCATAGCTAGACCCGAAAATTTCTGTCCTTATTTTATCATTGACTGTACTATGCCAGTTCGACATTCTAAGCAGATTTCTAACATATCTTTTAAGAGATTTTCCGCCGGGGATTACGCAGTGCCCTACAATGTCTTGTCTACTTATGACTGGTCTTTCCTTTATGACGAAATATCTGTTGATGCTGCCGTTGTCAGTTTAAATGTTGTTACGTAACTCAAGCCATAGATTTAGCTGTTCCTTCTGGACACGTTTAAATTAATATTCTGCTTGGTTTTCCTGGAATGTTAAAAGCTTGTTTTGAAAAGGAAAATTGGAACACATAAGAAAACTGTGTGGGCAACATGCGAGGACCTTTAATTGCTACAGCAGGGCATACTGACCTTACCACTATGCTTCCAAGGGTTACACTGATCGCGCGTTATGGTCATTTGTCACTGACAAGGCGTCGTTTTGTGATCCACAAAACATTCGCAAGAGATAGGCTGAGGTTCGAATCCCGGTTAATCATGTTGTCTTGATCCGCCTGCCACTTGCTGTGTTACGTCATAACTCATAAAATCAGGTCACCACCTGTGCGCCGCATGACAACATGAGGACCGAAATATCTTCCTACGTTACACTAATTTTATAAGACATGAATGCAGTGTAGTCCGTTGATAGTCAACTGACGTTTCGGAGGAGCATTCCCCCTCAATTTTTCAGGGTCGAAGAATAAGCAAGGTGCTTGCCATCTGCTTTCGCGCTCGTTACTTCCTTGGCTTAATATTCGACGTTGAAGATGGTGATATATTCATCCGAAACGTCGGTTGACTCAACGGACTACTCTTCTTAATCACAGATGTGAAAACCTCAAATCGATTTACAAGACATGATTACGATCTTTTAGAAATGGAAGCCGTGTAACTTCGTAAATATGTACAGACGTTTCGGAAGAACAGCTGTTTCACGTTTTTAGAGTGAAAACATAGGAAGCACGCTCCTCCCAGACGCTGATGCTGATCTGTCATACTGTACGAGGTCACATGCCTGACTACTGTAGTAGCGGCACTGAGATCCCACGCGCCAGAACAGTTTCTCATGCCACCTTTCCAATACAAGCATCATCAAGGTCTCTATGTTACGATGACTGTTCTAAAGTGACATGGCGTCTGTACGTGACCGTGTTCATGCTTATCTCCGAAGAATTCGTCGGCATTTTATTAAATATGGAGGGTCTTCAGCAAAATCTGTCGCTCTAATTTGATTTTGACGCATTTCGGTCCAATTCGCCGTCATGTCCCCGAGAGCTATGTGGGCGGTAGCTTAGCTACTGGTAGTCTCTCATGCATGGCATGGTCAAAACCAATGATCCAGACAAAAAAAAAAAAGACACCCTGGTCCTCCGGGTTGGGTGTAGGGTTAAGAACCCCATCCCGTAAAAAGGCTTAATTGTTGAGAAGCTTTTAATTATTGCAGCCATACAGAAACACCTAAATGCAAAAGAAAGTTACAGACTCGGAACCAATGGCCAAGCTTCATCATGGGCTGTAGCGCCCGCAGAAGAAGAGAAATCCCGTCCTGCCCGATGCTCAGCTCAAATTCCATCAGTTTTATCACGGCAATTCTATAAATAACTTGCATATGTCATGGAACAGCATACGTTATCTCATTACGATGCAAAACACCAGTTTGAAACATTCTTCAGCACGCACATGGTGTCCATCTGAGTAATGGCAGGTTCTTACTAACGTTCCTCCGACCGAACATGCTGCCTCTGTCTTGAGGACACCTATCAGACTACGAGGTGCAATAACCCGAAGACGAAGCACATTCGCCGCCGTAGTTTTGCTGGTTCATACGACTGTGAAACAAAATCTATTACAGGGAAAACAGTACTCGAAACATTTATGATAAAGGTAAAAAAAAAAGGTAAAGGTATCCCTGTAACAAGTCATAAAAGACAACAGAGTTGTGAGACGTCGAGGCTCCCACATTTCTAAACATTCGGCTCACAGATGGAGGTGAGGCTGTCAGACTTGGCGCCGGCCGCCCGTTGCCCCCCCCAGGAAGATTTCTGTTACGCCTTTCTGTTAGAGGCCGAGTCGACGATTAGGTAAATTGAAAACAATCCACCTCATCGGGACTGGAACCCGCGACCTTCCGGATTGTAGCATAGTGCCTCAACCAACTACGCTACCACGTGCCTCGCTTATGGTGTATGTATCCCAAATAAAACACGTACAGACTACGTACACAGAATACATCTTACTTGCATTGCAATTTGCACCTCTTGGACCCATCGTCTGTCCCACCTAAGAGATCTCTGGTTAACGTGATATTCACAGCTGCCTAGCGACAACAGTACAGACATAGGAACAAACGAATAAAGGAGTTCTAGCACTCAAGGGAAAACACAATAGGTTATGCATATGTACAACGGCCTGTAACCTCTACATCTTTTGCACCCTCCACTGTCTGCAACACCGATGGCGATAGGGCGCCAACACTGATCTGATCTGCAGCCTTACAGCACTCTCCATAACGAGGAAGGGCACAACAAAGAGGACGAAAGGAAACAAAGAATAAATGAACAGGACGAGAAAAAAAGAAGGAAAGAAAATCAACAAATAAGTGACAGACTGGTGTCGGAAGTCGAAATAGTGGAGAGACCACAACACAACGGATCGCTTAAGAAAAGACGCACCACTACACAGCACGATGCACCACTTACAGCAAAGAGGCACCACTTCACAGTATGATGCACCACTTACAGCAAAGACACACCACTACACAGTAAAATGCATTATTTAAAGCAAAGGAACACCATAACACGATGCATCACTTACAGAATAGACGCACCACTCCACAGCATGATGTACCACTTATAAAAAAGACACACCACTACACAGCAAGATGCACCACTTATAGCTAAGACACACCACTAAACAATATGATGCATTACTCAAAGAATAGGCACACCACACGATGCATCACTTGCAGCAAAGACACACCACTCCACAGCACGACGCACACTTACAGCAAAGACACACCACTAAACAATATGATGCATTACTCAAAGAATAGGCACACCACACGATGTACCACTTACAGCAAAAACACACACCACTCCACAGCACGATGCAGCACTTACAGCAAAGACACACCACTACACAACACCAAGCTTCAGTATACAGCACAGACACTCACAGAAGAGTGGGATGTGAACCTTCTAAGCTGTTTGCTTGATTGGCTTCCTCTTGGATCCTGATGTTGGGGGCAGTGTTTCTCCGAAACGTCAGTACATTTATAAAATGTCACCACAGAAGGCGGTACTCGTCAAAGCTGTCGCCGGGAGAGCGTCAAGCCTTACAAGACACCGACTACACTAATTCGGTCTCAACGAGGGAACAAGGTACCTCTAGAACCAGTCGAAATCATGGAAATGCTTATGATACCATCAACAAAATTAGGTAACATTCGGTATGTTTTAT